TATTTGTGTTGCTCCTTACGGGAGCACTGTAAGTGAATCGCGAGGAAGCGGGAGCACTCGGAAAGCCCTCGAAGGTTACAGGGACCCCCAGGAGGCGCCAGGAGGCCACAGGAAGCTTCAGGAGGCACCAGGAGGCACCAGGAGGTTCCAGAGGCCGCAACAGGCCCCAGGGCCACCAACCTCAGGAGGCTCCATGAGTTCTCCGGGATGCCCCAGGAGGTCCCAGGAGTACCCCGGGCCCCAGGATGTCCCAGGAGGCCCCAGAAGGCTCCAGGACGCTCCAGGTGGCAACAAGAGGCCCCAGGAGAAGGCAGAAGGCCCAAGGAGGAGACCCGGGCACGAGGAGGAGGCCAGGCTCCAGGAGCCCCCGGGGGCTCCAGGAGGCAACGGGAGGCCCAAGGGCGCCCCAGGAGGAGGCAGTGGGGTTCGGATGAAGAGGCAGCACGAGGATGAGGACGAGGATGAGGACGAGAACGAGGACGGGGACGAGGACGAGGACGAGGACGAAGAGGAGGAGGACGAGCAGGACGAGGAGAAGGAGAAGGAGGAGGAGGTGCAGGAGGAGGAGGAGGAGGATGGGGATGAGAAAGAAGGAGGAGAAAGAGCAGGAGCAGGAGCAGGAGGAGGAGGAGGAGGAGGAGGAGGAGGAGGGAGGAGGAGGAGGAGGAGGTGGAGGAGGAGGAGGAGAGGAGAAGGAGGAGGAGGAGGAGGAGGAGGAGGAGGAGGAGGAGGAGAAAAAGGAATAGAGAAAGAGTCAGGACGAAACGGAGGATGAGGACGAGGAGGAGGAGGAGGAGAGGAGGAGGAGGAATCGGAGGAGGAGGCTGGAGGAGGAGGAAGAAGAGGATGAGAAGGAGGAGGAGGAGGCGGAGGAGGAAGAGATGGAGATGTATGTTCAGGACGAGGAAGAGCACCTCAGGAGGGCCCAGGAGGCCCCATGAGGCTCCAGGACTTTCTGGGAATCTCCTGGAGCCTCCAAGGAGGAAGCAGGAGGCCCAAGGAGGACCCAGAGGAGGCCGGAGGAGGAGGAGGAGGAGGAGGAGGAGGATGAAGAACAGGAGGAGGAACAGGAGGAGGAGGAGGAGGAGGAGGAGGAGGAGGAGGAGGAGGAGGAGGAGGAGGAGGAGGAGCGGAGCAGGAGAGAGGATGAGGAATTTGAGAAGGTGGAGGCCGGAGTAGGAGCACGAGCAGGAGTAGGAGTAGGAGTTGGAGTAGGAGTAGCAGTAGAAGGAAGAGGAGGAGGAGAAGGAGAAGGACAAGGAGGAGGTGGAGGAGGATGTGGAGGAAGAGGATGAGATAGATGAGCAGGAAGAGGAAGAGTACCCCAGAAGGCCCTGGGAGGCCCCCGAAGGCTCCAGGACGCCCAGGGAAGCTCTGAGAGCCCGCAGGGGGCCCCAGGAGGAGGCAGCAGGCCGAAGGAGGACGAAAAGGAGGCCGGAAGAGGAGGAGGAGGAAGACGAGGAGGAGGAGGAGGAGGAGAATGAAGAGAAGGAGGATGAGGAGGACCAGTGTAAACCAAAGGGTCATCAACGATGTTGGCATTTACCCTCCCTCCGAGCTCTCTTCATAGGCCCCTACAACGGTGCATGTCCACTGAGGGAACTGCCTCGTTGGAAGACACCCTTGAAGGCCCTGAAGCTTGCCAAAACATGGTTCTCGGGATTTCAACGCCACGGATCAACCTGACTCGCTGTGTCTTGCCGATCCGGAGTCGTGTAAAAAACGCCATTTTGGGCCTTCAGCACCGCGACGTGACATAACTGCTGCACCCACATGATCTTGCTTCCGTCCAAAACATGATTTTTGGGTACGTTGGCCATGGGAGTCTGTGAGCCTCTTCCAGATGTATGGCTGAATGTGCGCGGCGCTCTGGCGAGAGCTTCATTTTGAAAAGGAACCACCCTCAATCCGTGAAGCCCTTTAAGGTTTGTTAGAACGAATGTGCGCGGCGCTGAGGCGAAAGCCACTTTTTGAAAAGGAGCCGCCCTCAATCCGCGAAGCCCTTGCAATGTTTTAAAACGAATGGGCGCGGCGCTATGGCGAAAACTTCATTTTGAAAAGGAGCCGCCCTCAATCCGTGAAACTCTTGCAATGTTCTAAAACGAATGTGCGCGGCGCCAAGGCGAGAGCCACATGTTGAAAACCACACGCCCTCCATCTGTGACGCTGCTGCCACTTCTGAAGCTTCGAAATCATAAATGCTGAGGAAGTCTCAGGCGAAACGCCTGGCCCGCCCTGACACTGGCTTCGGGGTGCGGCAGGGAGAAATTGCTTACAAGGGCGAAGGAGGACGACGAGGAGGAGGAGGAGGAGACGGCCCAGCGTAAACCCAAGAGTCATCAACAATGTTGGAATTAACCCTACTTCCAAGCTCCCTCTTCATAGTCTCCTACGACGGTTCATTTCCACTGAGGGAACTGTCTCGTCGAAAGAAAACCGTTTTAAAATGCTGAAGTATGCCGAAACATTGCTCTCGGGTTTACAACGCCACGGATCAACCTGAATGTTGCTTCTTTACGAGCCTGAATCGTGCCAGAACCTCATTCTTGGGACTTCAACACCGCGCGAATCAACGTAAGGGACCCGCGTAATCCTGAGTTTTTCGCAAACAGCGTTTCTGGTACGTTGATCATGGGAATCCGTGCAACTCGCGTGGATTATATAATCAAATGCTCGCGGTGCTAAGGCGATCGCCACATTTTGAGAAGGAACTGGCCTCAATCCGTGAAGCCCTTGCAAGTTTGAAAACCGAATGTCAAGGACCGACCACAACGCTGTTTAGGTTGGTTCTTGCCTTCGTTTTGTTTTTCGTTCTCGCCTTCGTTGTTGTTCCGTTGTGTTGTTCGTTTTTGTTTTTTAACGCGTTTGAGTGTTGAACGGCTTTTTGCGCGCGTTTCGTTGATTGTTTTGTTTTGTCACGGATCCAATGTTGCGTTTTGTTTTTCGTTTTTTTTTGCCCCGTTCATTCCGTGGTGTGGTTTGTTGGCCGCTGTGTTTCGCGTTCAGTGGTGTGTATCGTTCCGGTGCCCGTTCATCCCGTGGTGTGTATCGTCCCGTTGGCCCCAAGCGGCCTTCACCCAGCCTTCAGCCGTAGCCGCAGGCCGAGACCTCGCCACTCGCCCAAGCCTCAGCCCTGATGCCATCGCTGCTGTCGTGGTTCGTTTTTCGTTTTGTGTTTGTTTCGTTTGTATTGTTTGGCCCCCTTTCGTCTTGTTCAATATTCAGCCCTAATCTCGCCCTGGCCTTGGCCGTCGTTTCATGTTTTCGCGTTGTTCGTTTTTCGTTTTTTTTTTTTTTTGTTTTGTTGTGCGCATGCCCCAAGCGGCCTTAACCCAGCCTTCAGCCGTAGCCGCAGGCCGAGTTAGAATTTTGTTGTTCGTTTTGTTTTGCTCATGTCCAACCGAGAATCTCGACATTCGCCAGAAACCCAAGCCTTAGCCGTTACCGCAGCCGGAGTTATTTTTTTCGTTTCGTTTTTCGTTTGCCTTCGAGCGCGCCTCAAATTGGACCTCGCCCCTCGCTGCAGGCTTGCTTTGTGTTTCGTTGTTTTTCGTTTGCGTTGTTTTGCCTTTCAAGTGGGTTCAAGCCCCAGCCAGAACATCGCCCTGGCTCCAGCCGTCGCCCCATGCGTCGTTTTGTTTTTCGTTGTGTTCTCAGCGCGGTTTGCGAATTCCGTTTCGTTCTTCGTTTTGTTTTCAGCACAATCGGTGGTTTCGTTTCGTTTTTCGTTCTCGTTTGGGCCCGTTTCGTTTCAAACGTTCGTTGTACAACGGTTGGGTTAAACGCCTTGTTCGTTCTAAGCGCCAACGCGTTGTAAACACCGTTGTGGTCGGTCCTTGCCGAACGTGCGCGGCGCTAAGGCGAGAGCCACACTTTGAAAACCATCCACCCTCGGTCCGTGAACCTGTTCCAAAGGTTTGAAACGAAGGTGCGCGGCGCTAAGGCGAGAGCCACATTTTGAAAACCATCCGCCCTCAGTCCGTGAAGCTCGTGCACTGGTTTAGAACGAATGTGCGTGGTGCTGGGGCGAGAGCCATGTTTTGAAAACCAGTCGCCTTCAATCCGTGAAGCCCTTGCCAATGTTTAAAGACAATTTGCGCGGCGCCAAGGCGAGAGCCACATGTTGAAAACCACCCGCCCTACATCAGCGAGACTGCTGCCAAGAGTTAAGCTTCAGGGGTCATACGTGGTGAGGAAGTCTTAGGCGAAACGCTCGACCCGCCCTAAAAACTGGCCTCGGGGTGCGACAGGTATTTCTTCCGACAGAAAAGAAATGAAAGAGGAGGAGGGAGAGGACGAGGAGGAGGAGGGGGAGGTGGAAACGGAGGAGGCAGGAGTAGAGGGAGGAGGAGGAGGAGGAGAAGGAGGAACAGGAGAAGGAGCAGGAGGAGGAGGTGGAGGAGGAGCACGAAGACGAGGACAACGAGGACAAGGACCAGGAGGGACAAGGAGGAAACGGAATAAATGGACAAGGAGTAGCAGCAGCAGCAGCAGCAGGCAGGATAAGGAGGCAGGAGGCAGGAGGTGTCATGGGGAGAGGGAGGAGGATGAGGAGGAGAAGGAGGAGGACGACGAGGAGGAGGACAAGGCAGAAAGAGGCGGAGGCAGACAGAGGCGGAGGCAAAGGGATGATGCAAGAGGAGAAGGGGGAGGCAGGAGGGTGCAGGAGGAGGGGGCAAGTGGGGATCCTCAGGCAAGCTAAACAGATTATCATGCGGGGTCTTTCCTCTGGAGTAATTGGTTGTATTCGGGAGCGTCGTTTCTCCCAGATCGTTTTCAACGGTCTGGGGGCTACGGCTGGGCTTCAGAGGCCCCGCACGCCGTGACGTGTTGTGGCGACGCAGGGCGTCTCTCCTCAAACAAACAATCCCCAGACTTGGGCTGGGGCACGTTCTGACGAGAATTTCGGGCGGACCCAGCGGTGGCGACGTGGAGGCTTCAAAAAGGCAACAAATACGTCCCTGGCCTCGGTGTCCGAGCCTCGATCCTTGGGCCCAGAGGCTGGACGGCGGGTCCCGGACCGTGTACGGTCTGCCCTTCAACAAGCCGTACACGGACTTCAGGCGGATCTGGCAAGCCGTGCGCGACTCCCGGGTCCTGGAGCTCGGCGGCGAGGATTTGGCGGAGGCTATAAGTCCATACGGAGTAAGTCCGTGAGCAGTGCTCGGTCTCCGTATAGGACTTCTCGGTCTGGACCTAGTCTCTCCTGACACGAGGCTAGGTCCAGACGGAGTAAGTCCACACGGAGTGTTCAGTCTCCGTCCAGATTTTTGGACGCCCGAAATGGGTACGGAAAGAATGGGTACAATGCTCAACAGCAGTTCCTGTTCATTCTGAACAGGACTCGCTGTCGGTGTCGCCGCGGCCTGTGTCCATTTGAGACAGAAGGCCGCCTGCCCAACAGCGGCCGCTGTTGGTTTGGGACAACATCTGTTGTTGAGCATTGTACCCATTGTTTCCGTACCCATTTCGGGCGTCCAAAAGACTGGCTTCTGGGCTTGCCTCTCCAGAGAGGACGCCGTGTACGCTCTCAAGGCCGCGCGCCCAAAACCGCGGGGAGGCTGCGTGGGATCTGTGGGGGCACCCTGCTGTGCCCCGCACGCCCGCTGCGGCCCTTCGGCGCGAGGGCTTGGCTCCTGGAGGAGACCGCCTTCGCCGTCGACGCCCCGCAGCGAAGCGTATGACCCTATGCGCCTGCTGTGCGGTCAGGAGCGTCTGCCCAGCGTGTCGCGCCGCAGGTGCTGGCCCGCCACGCTTCGGCGCGACAGCGCCGACTCCGCCAGCAGCGCGCAAGGCATGAAGATCCCGAGCTTTTCCCGGCGTCCGCCCCGCCCCGCGAAGAGGGGCGAGGCGAGATCACCACGCCTGCTATCCGCTAGGATTAGGTCGGGCAGGTTCCTCTACAGGCGGGATATCCAAAACTAGTACACACATAGTTTGGGGGACGATTCTTGAGTATGGCTTGTTTCTTCGAGGATGTTTGGAGTTGTTTTAAGTTGTTCCTTACAAATCCGCCTGTGGGGGGACATGCCCGACGTAACGCTAGCATGGCACAGCGTGTCGCCAGAGCCGCCGCGACACGCGAAAGAGAACCGCAGGCCTCGGCATCGCTCGGACGTGTGCACTGTTCTCCGCGAGGCCAGCGCCAGCCGATGTGGACCATCCTGGAGCACCTTGGATTAATGGAGGATGACGATTAATAAATGACTGGGGGTCGTGTTCACGCGGCGGCGCCCGGGATGACGACTAGAAAAAACCGGCCGCGGGCTGGAAAACTGTGGTTTAAACCGTTCTCTTCCAGTCGGAAAATTGTGCAGAAACAGCAGGAAACTGTTTTTTAATCGTTCCCCCCCATTTTGTTTATTAATCGTCATCCCGCATTACCTGGGTGCAGAGACACGCGCGAAACCAAACAGTTTTTGGATCTGCGGGGCGAGAGCGAACCTCTTCCGCGAAAAGCTAGGCGGGCTACGCACAGCTTTAATCAGGGAGACGGGGCACAGGAAGGCGGGCCTCGGGCGGCCGGAGCGGGCGGGGCCCGGGGAACAGGCGGTGCCGAAGTGGATGCGCAGGAAAAGGTAACTATCCGCGCGAAGCCAAACCGTGCACGGGGAAGGACGTCCGAGCGATGGCAAGGGGCTCCTTGGCCCTCTCCCCCCCGCCACGCCCCGTGGCCTCGCACGGTCCCTGGCATTCACGGGGCGGCCTCGGACAGCTTCGGGGTGGCCTCGAACGGCCTCCAGGTGTAGGCAGCTGTGGGCTCGGCCTCGGATGTGGCGGGGATGGACGGGGGGTGTGGGAGGGGGAGGCAGCAGGGCCATCCGCAGACGCAATCGGCGGTCGGTTCGAAGATGGGGCCCGGGGGGATGATACCCGAGTGGCCTCGAACAGTGAAGGTGCATGATGATGACGATGATGCTGATGATGACGATGATGATGCTGCTGATGATGCTGATTATGATGATGATGATGATGATGATGATGATGATGATGATGATGATGATGATGATGATGGTGGTGATGATGATGATGACGATGCTGATGATGCTGATGATGCTGATTATGATGATGATGACGACGACGACGATGACGATGATGATGATGATGATGATGATGATGATGATGATGATGATGATGGCGGAGCAGATTCTGAGGAAGTCTCGAGCGGCTTGCTGGCTTTTATCATCATCATTATCAGCATCATCATCATCTTGTCATCATCATCATCATCAGCATCATCATCATCGTCATCATCATCATTATCATCATCATCATCACCATCAGCATCATCATCATCTTGTCATCCGGGTTCCTGTCCTCAGGGCCTTGTCCCTCAGGGCCCCATCGTTGAGCCGCCGACGCCGCACTGCAGCTGGGGAGCCCAGGCTTCTGGCGACTTGCCTACATCGCGCCGCAGCTGCTTCGCAATCGTCGGCCTCCCGGGGCCTTAGTGGGCCCTGGAAACGACAGGGCCGTTTTTTTACCGGTTCCGTGTTGCCGTTTTTGTTGCCGGTTCCGACGCCGTTTTTTTTCCGGTTCCGTCGCCGCTTTTTGACCGGTTCCGGCTCCGGTTCCAATCCTGGAGCCGTTTTTTTGCCGTTTCCAGTCGCCGTTTTTTTTACCGTTTCCATTTTCAAGGGACATTTTTTCTGGAAACGGTGAAGAAAACGGCCCTGCCGTTTCCGGGGCCCACAAAGTCCCGGGGCCCGTCCACTGAGCCCAACTGGATCCGAGAGCGAGGGTGATAAGCATGGCCGTGGTGAAGAGCAAGACGAGGAAGAGGGTAGTAGGGGTAGAGGGTAGGACAAACGAAGAGAACGGTGAGGAGGGGCAGTGCCACCAGGAGGGCAATAGGGTTGCAACGAACATGCTTACAACGTTTCCGACCTCTGCAGGTGCGGGTTTTCCCGTATGCTTGCGGCGTCCTCAGCGTGTGGGTTTTCATCGCTTGCGCCACCGTCGATTGAGTAAATATTTGATGTTGGCTGGACCCCGCCAACTGGGGTGTGCATCGCGTTCGCGATGACCGAAAAGGTGAACGTGGTCATCTGGGCGATGCCCTGAATCCGGTGCTCGTGGTCGTGGGTGTGCAGCGGGAGGCGATGCCTGCGCCCGAGTCTCGGATGGTCTCCGCGGGAAATGTACGCGAGAGGAAAACGCGCGGTCCATGTTTGTCTCTAGGCCTCCTGGATGGGATCGGCGATATGGCTCGATGCGCAGTCCGATTTGCTTCACGACGTCGCCGACGCAGCGCAGGTGTCGATGATGCATCGCTGGTGCATCGCCGATGCATCGCCGACGCATCGGCGATGCGGCGAGATCCTCCGACCCCATCTATCGGCGGCGAGCGAGGGGGTAATTGAGAAGGGGCGGGACTTCTCAGAAGGCTCGGAAGTCCCCCAGCCTTCTGAGAAGTTTTCTAAGCCTTCCCCGAATACAGAACAAAAATCTCAGAAGGCGCGAGGGCTTCTGAGAAGTCCCGCCGCCTTCTGAGAAGGCCTTCTCCTTCTCACTTCCCCCCCTCGCTCACCGCCAAATCTACTCCGACCCCATCCAGGAGGCCCTCCATTGTCGCTGCCCCATCGCTGCGAGCATCCTCGCGTGTGCCCCGCTTGTGAGCCGCAGACGTGCGCCTCCGTGCCGCCGTCCGCGGTGTGCGCTGCCCGCCGCTCCGTCGGAGCACGAGCCACGGGTGCACGACGCCCCAGGACCGCCCCCCCCCCCCACCCACCACCTGGAACGCCCCGAAGATGGCGTGGCCTCCGAGGATAGGCGTCCAGACGTGACCGCGCCGTGGCAAACACCTCGACGGGAGGTGCTCGGCCAGCTTGGGCCCCGGTGGGGCGCCCTCGCCGGGCCTCGGGGCCAGCAGAGAGGGACTCATGGGATGAAGCGCTGGCCCCGGGGAAGGGCCGGGACTTGCAGGGGCCCCGTGTGCGAAACAGCCAGGACGTCGCAGGAACTGGGAATGGAGAGGCCATCTCTTCCGCGGCGGAAGGTCGGCGGAAGTAGAACGGGGCCGCCTCCGCCGGCGGAAGCCGGCGGAAGCAACACATGTGCCCCCAGGAGATCCATTCGCTTGTCTTGGCATCGCTCGGACGGGTGTATTTTTTGTTCGGCCAGGACCATCGAGGAGCATCCAGGATTCTTTGGCGAAGAAAAGCCACGCACGCGGCCGAACAAATAAAACACAGGGAAGGGACGTCCGAGCGATAGTCAGTTGTGGGTTCCGGGTGTTCGAAAGGGGCCACCCGTCGCGGTCCCATGGTGAGAGCCTCGCCCGGGGGCTGGACCGTTTGTGGCCACATTCGGTGTTATGTTTTTTTTTTTTCGATGCGCGGACACCTCAAGCAGTGGCGAAGCGTTTTGGCTCGCCTAGAGCCCTACCAAACAATGTTCTGAGAACCTTTTGTGGCTTCCAGGAGATGTTATTGGAGCATTTCTGGCGGGGATTGTCTTGTTTGAACACATCGGGGTTATGTTCTAAGCACCTTGTTTTTGTGATTCGAAAATTTTTGGGTTCTAAGAACATTTCGTGGTATGACTATAGGAATGCCGGGACCGTCGGTCCCTGCTCAACGAACGTTCCGACCTTTTCCCTAGGGCCGGCTTGTCATCCCGAGTCGCTCTTTGACGGTCTTGTGGCCCGGCGAGGACCCCCAGAGGCCGAGAATTGCCAAGTGCCTCCCGCCGCGCTTGTTTGGTTAATGTATGCATTTATGTCATTATTGTCCGTGCTATTACTCGTATCAGCATCATCATCATCAGCATCATCATCATCACCATCATCATCATCGTCATCATCATTATAATCATCAGCATCATCATCATCGCCACCACCATCATCATCATCATCATCATCATCATCATCATCATCATCATCATCATCATCATCATCATCATCATCGTCATCATCATCATCATCATCATGATCATCTTCATCTTCATCATCATCATCATCATCATCATCATCATGTTTCTTATTATTGTTAATCGCATTCTTATTTCTATGTTCTATGTTTTATGGGCGGCCCCACAGGAGTGTTCCCGGGTTCCCGGTTATTGGTTCCAGGCCGGTTCGGTGGGTTCTGGGTTCGGGCTCCCGGGTTCCCGGGCGATCTCCTCAGCGAAAACCATCCATTGATTAGGGTTTTTCTCTGGTGTAATATACCTTCTGGGCCCTACATTGGAAGCCCATGCCAAGAAGCACCCAGACGTCGGGCGTCTCGGGAAAACCGGGGCGGAGGTTATTCGTAGTCTTTGGCCCCTCCGGGCCCTCGCCAGCCTCGGGACCGTGAACAAAACGACTCAGGACGAGAAACCGCTCCTGGGGAAGTGGTCGGGAGGTCGGGGGCCCGTGTCTCGAAAAAATCGAAACGTCGGATGTGTGGGCACCCTGCTTGCCTCCAGGGTGTCCTGGGTTTCTTGAGTTTCCATGTTTTTGTTATGGAAAGCGTGACGTCCCCACCCCAGAATCAATGGACGTCCTGGTGTGTCAGGGTTAGGTTTCTTGTGGGACGTCTCTTGTGGTCGAGCTCCTACTGTAACGCGCATTAGCCACCCCGCCCCCTCCCCTTCCGCAGAGGAGGAAAAGGTAGCAATACCCTACCTTTTCCTCGTTTCCCCTTTTTGGGGCTTCCTGGGAGGTCCTCGTCGCCATCGCTGGATTCGCTTCGAAGTCCTGGTCAGAACGCACCCCGGGAGAGGTCCAGGGAGTTTCAGTATCGGTACCTCCTTGGGCGCTGAAGAAGGAACCCTTCTCGTTGGGGAGGGGCTCGGTGTTCCTTGATTGTTTTACAGCTTGGCTTGGGTTGTCCTAAGGTTTTCGATGGGCAATCGAAGCTCAACTTTTGGGATCAAGGGGCCTCGTTCCTTATTTTAAGGTTCCTTAGGTCAACGCCCCGACTGTATCGCCACTAAACATAAGAGATTGGAGGTCCGCGCGGATTTCTCGGATCGGCGCTGGGCCCCGCATCCATGGCGCGCGCAGCGCGCCAAGGGGGGGCGCCGGAGGCGCCGCCAGGGGGCTCCAGCGTGGATCCGAGGATTCCGCGCGGACCTCCGAGTTTTTATGACTGTGTGATTCATCGTGTCCCTATATCCCCAAACCCCGCCCCGCCCCCTCCCCCAGACAGCAGCGCTCCTCCCCCCTGGCAGTGCTCCCCAGCACTGCCGCAGCGCGCCCGACGCCAGTCTGTTGCGGTGGGGGGCGGGGCGTTACGTCATGCCGGGTGGGGGGATGGGGGACGAGGAGGAAGAGGGAAGAAGAGCAGGAGGAGGAGGAGGAGGAGGAGGAGGAGGAAGAGGAGGAGGAGAAGGAGGAGCAGAAGAAGGAGGAGGGGAAGGAGCAGGAGGAGGAGGAGGAGGAGGAGGGCGAGGAGGAGGAGGGCGAGGAGGAGGAGGAGGAGGAGGGAGAGGAGGAGAAGGCGCAGAAGAAGGAGGAGGGGAAGGAACAGGAGGAGGAGGAGGAGGAGGAGCGTCCCCGGCCCCCCCCCCTCTCCCCCCTCAGCGCGCGGAATCGCCGCGCGGAAAGAATATGCTCCCTGACGCCTCGGCTTGCGCGACGTACGTGAGAGGAGCAAAATGCCACGACGGTGAGAAGCGGCCAGATTCCCAACAGTTCTGTCCATGATTGTCTTCTGTTCCACACGGGATGCAAAAACGAGGGCCGCCGGATGATTGCGCCCTGATTCCTGGAGCGGATCCTGAGCCAATCGCATCATGCCATCATCCTCGTCTGAGGGCTCAGGGGCGACGTTACGAGGAGATAAACGAAGAGGGGGCTTGCAGCGACCTTCAAGAAAGAGTTGTTGCATTCTGAGGCGAAGCTGGGCGCTAGTTGGGGGGAGGGGGGGAGGGGGCTGGTAACGTCACATTTCGCGCCGGCGCCGTCTGGGAACGCCTCGGAATAGCCAAAGACAGCTCGGATAGCAGATACCGGTAGGGATCTGCTACAGCAGAGCGCGCGTACAAATAGTGATTTGCTACGGCAGCACGCCTCCCTTCTCCTTCTCCTCTTCGTCCTCCGCCTTCTCCTCCTCTTCCTCCTTCTCGCTGCTCCCTCTTCCCTCCTCATTACCCTTCCCTCCGTCGTCATCGTTTTCCCGCCTCATTGGGAACATGGAAGCCAACAGGACGGGACATGTGTCCTGTGTGTCTCTTGCCACGAAGCTGTGTACACATGACGTGGTCGGCCTGGGCGAGAGCCGGAGACACTTGTGGCCGCATGTCTTTCCAGGTTATCGGCCCTCGCGTGGCCATGCATCAGGAGGGGAAAAAAAACACAGACACAATGAATCGTCGATTCCCCCGGAAACATGGGAAAATATGGGAAGTGGGGGGGAAGACAAAAACCCTACAAAATATGGGAGAAAATGGAGGGAACCTGTTATTTGTGTGTATTTATGTGTGTGTGTGTGTGTGTGTGTGTGTGTGTGTGTGTGTGTGTGTGTGTGTGTGTGTGTGTGTGTGTGTGTGTGTGTGTCCCAGGGCCCCTTCAAACTGGCCTCCGCATGTTCCGTACGTGATTATAACCGCGTGTGTCTCCAGCCTCCTGGATCTCTTAAGACACCCAGCTTGAGGTTCTCGATCGTAGTCCGATCATTCAGAGACAAGGATGCTGTGCGCTGTCGGTGAGGTTGAGCCGGAAGTGGCATACGTGTACCTCATGAGTTTATGCCATTCCGCACGTCCCCCGTGCGCCCCGGCGGTGTGGTGCGCACGCTGATGTGCAGCGAAGCATGTTGCAACGCAGTGAGGAAAAATACGGCGACAGAAGGGGGAGTACGAGTCCCCGAGCGCGTTCCACTACTCGCGAAGCACCTGCTCGCAAACGCCAGACAAACAGTTCGTGCTCCTCGATGCAATTTTCATCGCACGCCCCCCGCGGCGGATCGGGGCCGTTCGCGAGCAGTTGCCCTGCGAGCAGTTGAACGCTCACGTCTGATGAGGATGAAGGATGAAAGATGAAGGAGGAGGAGGAGGAGGAGGAGGAGGAGGAGGAGGAGGAGGA